TATTATTATTAATTAAATATCATGATCTCAAAAACTAAAAATTTTATTTTTTAAATTAAAACAATTTCAACCAATTTTAGAATATAACTAAATCTTCTAAATTTGAAATTAATTTTCGAGTTTTGTTTGAATGATAAGAAATTTTTTTTTACATTTGATGTTATTTTAGAGTCGCATGAACATAAATAAAATGTTAAAATTTCAACCCTTTTAATTGTTGATGTACCACGGTATTCGAGGATTATATAAGAAGGAAATAATTCGTGGAATTTTAAAATTGATCGCAGTTATCTCGAGGATATTATTTATTTGCTTTGAAATAAATGTCCCCGAGTTTTGTGTCGTAGGTTTTGTATCCTGAGCCCCACACAAGAGTTAAAGTTTAGTCCCAACATGCCACACGGCATGACTTGGCCGTGTGGCGCAGTGTATTTGTTACGCAATGCGTGGCCGTGAGAGGAGACAAGTTAGGTTTGTGTGAACGACTGTCAGTTATAACTTGTGTGAGTGTATGTGTCACATTTGTGCGTTAAAATATATTTTATTTAGTTGTGTTTGCGCCATATGAAACGTATACATATATATATATACGATTCGTGTCTTCGTAATGTACATGAATCGCATGTTACACAATGAGAAGGAGCGCAAGGAGAAGGAATCACGAGTGAAGTTAGGGGGGAGGCAAACAGCCTCGAGATGTAAAACTTGAGAACTTACGAGACAATCGGAGTCATGGGCGAGCTTCATTTTCTTCTAGTTGCCGATTTTGCTAAGGAGAAGGGGGAGAAAAAAAAATTACCAATAAATTATTAGTTAGACTTCTTTTTATTTTGCAAAAAAATCGCTTGCTTTTTTAGACTTTTTGTTTATTGAGAAAAATATCATTTTTTTTTTTGGAAAAATAGTTTCGTTATTTCTTCTGTCCAAAGTGAAAAAAAAAAGAAAATTGCTTTTCCATAAGTTTGAAATTCGATTTTAACCCTTACGAAAAAACGATTTGGTTTTTACATTTGTCTGTGCGATTAAAATTTCTAAAATCTCGTTTTAGACTCAACCCGAGTCGAAATTTTTCCCTCTTTTCACCCTCGATAAATAATGTCCATAAGAAAAAAATCCAATTTTTACATTTTTTTTTTAATTTTATTTTTTCGTTTTTTTAACCTCTTTTACGCCTCTCTAGTCATCTTTAAACCCTCCTTTCAGCCTTCAATATAGCAGATATTTCCACTTTTGCAAATTCGAGGTAGAAAAAAGAGGGTATGAAAGTGTTGGAGAGAATAAAAGGAGGATAAAAGGAGGTTTTTAGAGAACTTATAGAGAGTCTAAATTTCGACTCGGGAATAATTAACACAAATATTTATCTAATAATTGTCAAGTTTATTTTTTTTATTGCTCTATCTAAATACAATAAAATTATAAAAAAATAATTCTAAATAATAATAATAATAAAAATATAACTTTTTTTTTTATATAATGAATTGTGTAAAACTTATTGTTGCTCGAAATATGTCGAAATATTACGAGAAAGCGGAAGGTTTAATGAACTGCGGAGGTAAAAGAAAAAAAAAAAAAAAACAATAACATACCCTCTTTTGTAAAATAAAAGCCAATTTTTTTACTGAATATATATATAATATGTAAACGACATAATATTTCGAAATTATTATAATAATTGTGTGCACAGAACTGTGAATATAACTTTTGTTTATAAGATTTTATTGACAATTTTATTGTTAAAGAATCAAAGGAAGTTTGGTAAAAAAAAAAGAAAAGAAAAATATTAATCATTACCAAGTTTTGTTCTTATTAAATATGATGATTCAATTTTGCAATGCAATCTTTTGCGTGCCTTATCTCGTTTTCTTTAAACAAACGAAACAATGCTTGGAACAAATTGAAACAGACGTTGTCGTCATTATATTGAAAAGAAAATATACATATGGATTTTCCCCGTTAATCGTATATTAGAAAAAAAAACAATTGTAAAAGTAAAAGAAAATAAAATTAATTTTGTTAAAATTTGTATTTGACAGAATATTATTAGATACAATTTTCTTTTTTGGCAGAACAAAATTTTTTAAATTACAGTATTTTTACTGAATTGAAAATTCATATTTCTATATGATTGAATTGTAAAAATAAAATAATTCGGCTAAATGGAAATTCTATGAAATTAATTTTTGGCATTAAAAATTTTTTTCCGTGCACAAAATATGAGAAAAATGTTCTTTGAATTTACCTGATGATTTTAAGAGAATGAAATAAATTCGAAATGTAAATGTGGTTTTTTTTTTTTTGTTAAGAAAAATAGAGTTTGATTTGCATTACAACAATAACGATGATAATGATTATGATGATGATGATGAGGACGAATGAAAAGAGACACGATCTTGACATTGACCGTGACACATCGGCTTATTGCCGGGTACCTATAAGGTCGCACAAGGTCAGACTCCTTCCACTTCTGGGTCACATATCTGAGCAATATAGCGTTGGATGCTTTATGATATATATGTATATCTCGTGATTTGCGCGCGAAATCCACCGAACCTGCAGTTATCGATCCGAATGCGTAGAAAATACTATTGATTCGATTCGGTGCTGAGAGAACCGAGACGAGAGACCCGTCCAATCTACCTCGCATATCTCTCTTCCTCCTCGTGTACCATTGCATTTACTAGCAAAGGTTCGAGAGGTGGAACCAGAGTCCTCCTTTCATCTTCGAATACCTTTCACGTGTTCCCTCTTTTTTTTTTTCAAGAGGGGATTGTAACTAGAATTTCAAGAAAATAGATTTACCAATCTTACAAAGTGATTTTCTTTTTTTTTTTCATACATATTTATGAGATCCTGATTTATAAACACGATTGGTTTTTTTTTTTTTTTTGAAAATTTTGTCAGAAATTGATCTGACTCAACGCGGGGAATTTATTAAGGGTGTGACAGATTATTTGAAATATTTTTAAAGAGGTGCGTGGGTTTAAGTGACCTATTAATTATGTTATCTCGCCACGGAGGAATGACTCGAAAACACTCGACATATAGAGGAGGATGTGTCAAGATGAATTTCTTCAGAAAATTCTAACGCAAGTCAAGTATGAAATATAATATAAAGAGGAGGAGGGGGGGCTGAAATGAAGAAAATGATACGCGAGGAAAGTAAAGTGTCAGAAAATGGAGAGATTTAGTAAAATAAAAAAAAATTGTATTAAATTTAAAAAAAAAATTTTAGATTCGTTTTTCCAACTTAAAATTCTGTAATTAAAAAAAACAAAGATTCAAAATGTTCAAAAACATTCTTTTTTTTTAGCACAAGAAAATTATTTATGAAAATTACGAGTCAAGTTCAAATTAAAGAAAACCTTTTTTTTACAAATATATGTACATCTACTTTTCGTGTAACAAATTTTTTATTAAAAAAAAGTTTCACAAAAACAGTGATAAAATTACAATTTTTACAATATATGAAATAAAAGTTGTTTTAGAACTGTGAAACGTGGAAAAAAAAAATCTAAACTTTGAACCTTTGTATAGTTTTGATTATCATAAATTACCATTACCATGTAATTGGAATTATTATTATTATCACGAAAGAAATTTTACTTTATATAAATGTAAAAAAAAGCGCTCACGTTTTTAAAATAAATTTTAGATTTTCCTTTTTTTTTGTTTCACGAGTTGATATATTTTTTTATTTTTTACTTCATTTACGTATCTTTTTTATTATTATGAATTTTTGAACGCGACATAAAATTCCGATAGAGTGAATGATAAATTGAAAATGTTTGAAAGCGAGTTTTTTTTCAAATAGAAAAATATTTAAATTGATTGGGAAATATTTTAGAACTGATATTAAAAAATAAAATTAGAGAAATTTTTTTTTAAGTCGATTAAAAAATCTTCTTTTTAATTTTAATAATTATGTAAAAATTCGTATTAACGATGGAGAAAAAATACAAGTCAATTGAATAAACTTCCAAAGAGTCGTTGTCATCACTTTTTTTTTTTCCTCCTTTTGTCCTAATCGTTCGAATTGCACAATTTCACGTTTATTCATCTCAAGACCCGATTAAGTTTGAAATATTGTATTTCTTAAATTGCCAATGTACATATATGTATATGTGACTGATTTCGTTAACGCTTCTTGATGAAATAGAGAAAGAAAATATAAAATAAAAAAAAAATAAGGCGACAGGTCGTGATGAGCGCATACACGCACAATCGTTACATAGAAATTATTCGTCATTGGTTTGAAGAGAGTCGGTGGGGTATATGTAATGTTGTATTCGTGTATGTGAGCGCATGAAGGGGCACAGGGGAAAATTACATAAAAGGCATGGAAACGAGTGAGTTGCCTGCCCCGTTGGCTTTGTGCTTTAGCGTTGCTCCTACGTCCTCCAGGGTCGTACACCCACGCCGCGATATCGTATTAAGCATTTATGTTTATGTATTATGTATATATGTATGCGTTCCTAACATTGGGCGTTAGAATTGCATTTTGCCGCCTGGGGGACATGATTTTCAAAAGAGTATTATAATTCCTTTTTAAAAATCAATTTTATTTACACTTCCTCAGGCACTTTTATTTTTTTTTTTATTTTCTCAAATTTTCCTAATTTTTTATTTTCTCAATTTTTTGATAGTCCCAATTTTTTTGTCTGAAAAAAATTTTTTTTTTACTTTGTATTCTCAAATATTATTTAAAACTTGTTTTCTAGGCTAATTTGTAAATGGGAATGTATGATGCAATATGGTAATTAATAATCTATGGCACTTGGTGATTGCAAGATTGAAAAGCAAAAAAAAAGAACACGTAATGTGTGTTGAAGATTGAGATCTTAATAAGGAATTGAAGATGTGTTTATAATTTTTTTTTTCGTTGTAATATCTAACGAAAGAAACTAATTTAAAAAGCAATTGATTTTTAATTAGAAGAATTAAATTTTGATTTAATTTTTGAAAGAAAAGTGAAAAATAATGTATTTTTTGTTTCTTTTTAGATCGAGGGGAAGAAGAACGTGATATCGTGGCCGATGAAGGCGATAAGACGAATACGAGTAAAAATTAGAAATTCATCGAGGAAAACGATAAACGACGAGGTGGTGGCGTTGACAGCAACACTGGCAAAAAAGGTCCTTCACTAGGTCTGATGTTAGCGGATATTAACGGGAACCTGGCGGATCTGAGAAGCGAAGCGATGGCATCGCAGAGGTTTTGTCTGCGCTGGAACAACCATCAAAGCAATTTGCTTTCTGTTTTTGATCAATTGCTTCATGACGAAGCTTTTGTCGATGTTACGCTGGCGGTCGAAGGCCAACTACTCAGGGCACACAAAATGGTTCTGTCGGCGTGTAGTCCTTATTTTCAGGTAAAAAAAAAAAAATTCATTTATTTATTTAAAAAATTATAAGACTTATCTTAATAAAAGTTAATTTTACTTGAATTAAATAAAAATATATTTCTAAATGAGATGAATTATTGCAGGCCTTGTTCGTTGGACACCCCGACAAGCATCCAATAGTCATTCTAAAGGATGTCCCCTATGTGGATATGAGAAGCCTCTTAGACTTTATGTATCGAGGTGAAGTTAGTGTCGATCAGGATAGGTTGACGGCATTTTTAAGGGTCGCCGAATCCCTGCGAATAAAGGGTCTCACTGAAGTTAACGAGGACAAATGTGATTTGCCAAGTATCACGTCGTCGTTGCTCAGCAATCAAAACACAGTACCTCCACCACCACCGAATTTACATAGAATAAACCAAATTGGCTCACATCATCATATCTCGCAAAAGAGGTTCCATCATATGTCGAGCCATCCATTATTGGGCTCGGCGTTGACAGCACCAAAGAGAAAGAGGGGCCGACCAAGGAAGCTGAGCGGCTCATCGGACACACCACTTGAATCAATGGGACAGGATCATCACAGCAGTTCTGAATTGGTACAGGGCTCGCCTGAAATGATGGAAATGAAAATGGGCCTCGATTTTCAGGGCGATGTCTCGGCCAGTGGAGCCGGCAGCAATGGCAGCACCAATAATGGAGCGACCTCAACACCCAACAGTGCCAATTTAGCAGCCTTGTCAAGACAGGACGAACCCACGGAAAATGGCACTGACATTCCGGACTCGATCACAAAAAGAATCAAACGAGAACCTGAACCGACTCCCAGTACATCGGCGCAGGGTTAGTTTCTTTCATTTTCTTTTTTTAAAATCAAAAATTCTGTTAGCAGATTTTTCAAATTATACAATTCATTTTAAAACGAATTTTTACTTTACTAAATTTTTAGCTAAATATTTATTTGATAGAATTAAAATAATTAAAAAAAAAAATTAATGTTGAATTGAAAAATATTTTTAAAAAAGTACAGAACCTTTCAAGGAAAATTATTTTTTAATTTAATTTTATTTACTTGTGCTTTATTTAATGAAAATTATTCCTTTTATTTTTAGCAACGGAGGAGACTTTTGCGCGTCCACAGAGTAGACAAGGAAGTGAAGGGTTCAAGCAAGGTAAGAAATCCTAGTTTTTCTTCTTGCTTAATATGCGCAAAATTATCAACCATTATTTATAACCTTATAACAATATTTCAGTGCATTGCTATTCCTTTAAATAACCATTTTTAACCTGTTGATAGAATTTTTTTTCTTCAACATTTTTTTTTGAATCCATCTCACTAAAACCCAAAAAAAAGAACTAAATCGAAATTATCGAAATTCATCTGCAATTCCCTTTTAGAAAACAACTCTTAGTAATTCATGCAATATTTTTCACTGATAATCCTTTTTGTTTTTAATTAATTTTTTTTTTCTTTTTTTTTTTTTTGTCTTGGAAAATGTAATGTGAAGTGAAATTATAGGCGAAGCAGATTCATCGATGTCAAATTTCAAGCAACTCACGCGAGACTGGAATTTTATTTCTCGTCGGGAAATTCGAAATAGAACAATTTTTATTGTCGCTTTTAAATTTTTGATAAAGAAGATGAAAATTTTTTTTTTTTTTTTTTTTTTAATTTTTTACCTGCATGTCGACATATAATATATAAATAGAACCAAAAAATATGTGATTTCTTGATAATTTTCATAAGGAAATTAATTTCTTTTTGGTTTTAATATATGAAAACGACATTTATGTTCGCAAAAAATTTATTTAGCGACAAAAACTGATAAAAGTGTCCGCGAAAGTGAAACGGTTTCTTATATTAGAAAAACTTTCGTCGGTTCGTGACTCGTGTTATCAGAATACTTTTTTTTCTTTTACTTTTATATTTTTGTGAAAAAAGCAAAACCTTTTTCTTTTATTAGAAAAAAAGGAAATGTAAATTGAAAATTTGTATTTTTCGTAGAATTTTTTTTTTGCTTTTAAATTGAAAGAAAATTGATTTTTGCACTTGAGTAAATTTTTTAACTTGATCGGAAAAAATTAATTACAATTGTTAATTCAAAAATGGAAAATAATGATATTTTGCGGGAATATTGCTGCAAAGCCAACCCCCCTGCATGGTGTGTGAAGTATGGTCCCTTAGCTAAACTAAGATTGCTCGATGACCAAAAAGACGCGTAGTTGAATATATCCATGATATCGTCTCTCGTTCTCTCCTTTTTTCCAATTATCATCATTCATTCCCCTCATTCTCTTTTTTTTCCACGTTCAAATTTTTATATATTCTAAAATTCATTTCAATTCTCAGCTCATAAATCTAAGTCAGCAAATTACATATAAGTTTAAATCAGTTTATGAATTTTATTTATATGGGTATTTTCATTTTTTTTGGAAAAAATTGTTCATTTTAAAAACACTTGAGAGGAAAATATTAAATTATTAATATTAAATATTAATTAATTAATTATTAATTAATTTTCAAAAATATATTTCTCTCAATGTGTTATTCATTATGAAAAAAAAAGTTTTTTCATTAATCAAACATATTTTGTTCGAGAAAATCAGTTTTTTTTTAACGAAATTTTGATATGAAGATAAATTTATAATATTAATTATAAATAATTAAAATTATAAAATAAAATACTTTGTCATAAAATGAATTATCAAAGTATTTGTTAAGAAATACTTTTTACAGTTTAACATATTTTTGTTTTATAAAAGAAATAAAAAAAATTTTTTCAATGTTAAAATTAATTTTTAAAAAATTGAGTTGATTTAAGTCAAAATTAAGGAAATTTATTAGAAATTGTAAACATTTTTTTTGTTATTAGAAAATTTTTATTTATCCTGCTTTTTTCTAGATTAGATTTTTTTGGGTACTTTATTAAAAAAAAATATTTTTTTTCAAAAACAATTAGCGAATTAAAAATTATAGAACGTGGATTGGAATTGAGAGAATGGGGTAAAGAGAAAAAATTAATTCTTCTTTAGAGAAGAAAATAAAAAGAAAACTGGAAAAAATGAGGGAACTATTTGATGTATCAAAGTTTAATCAACTGCAAGTACGTTTTCCCTGAATGCTGTAGAGCCTCCAAAGATATTCTAACCCCCCAAATACCCGTATTTTTTTACACCGATTCTCGTTTTTATATAACACCCATGTATTTACTTGTTCGGCCAATGTGCAGTATTATTTCCCGTTCGTATCGGACCTAAACATTTTTTTGAACCCCGCACAAGATTTTTTTGTAAAAAGAATAAAAAATAAAAAAGAAAAAAGAAAATTGCATCTCGCTGCCATTGGCCACTGGTAAAAGGAGGGGGTGGAGCCAGCTAGCGGTGCTTAAAATTTTTAAACGCTGGTTAATTTTCCTCTATTTCGTTCGTTTATTATTTTTTTTTTTATTGCAAAGAAAACAATTCATATTTGAACGCGATAGAATTTTAGCAAAAAAAGAAAGTAAAAGAGAAGAAAGAAAAATCAAATACAGACCGAGATGACGATAAAAGGAAAAAAAAAATATATGCAGTAAAAACGGTGTTGAGAGAGAGAGAAAGAGAGGGGAAAAGAATAATAAAAAAAAAAAGAAAGGAGAGAAGGAAAAGCCTTCGTCGATCGTCGCTTCTGCTATACCTAAATTTGCATTCTTCTTTTTTCCAATTTAAACAAAAAAACACGAGAATCGATTGTGTTTCTTCTTTTTCTTGAATAGATGTTTTTTCCAGAAAAAAAATATGAATGTTATATTTTTTAAAAAAATAAAATATATGTATATACATATATATGTAATAAAAAAAAAAAAATCGGTGAAAGTGATGAAAGATCGAAGAATCGGTCGATAGTGACACGTGTTACTTTGTTCTATTGCGCAGGTGAGTTGAGAATTGAGTCATCTTTGTTCAATTGACGTTCCTTTGCGCGGGGAAGCGAAGGATTTAGGGAGGCCAGCCGTTTAAAAAAAAAAAACCGTTTTTAGATATCATAAAAAAAAAGTTTTTTTGAAAAATATACCAGTGTAGTTAATGATCATGGAAAGGTTCTTTTTTCCTCAAATGCGTCCTCTATCGTTGATGCCTCACCCTATATTATATTCAATTAGATTTTTACCGAAAGATTCAAGTTTCATTTCAATTTTAATTCACATTTTTTTTTCGAATGTCGGAAGAAAGTTTGTGAGCGTGTCTGTTTACATGTGAAAAAAAGCTTTTCTGCTCCTTGCACAATTTATTTCAAACAAAAATGTAAACAAAAAAAAAAGTTATTGTTTTTCTGCTTTTTAATTTTAGATTTTAAAAAAATTATTATTGAAAAATTTTTCTGTTTTTTTGTCAATAATATTAAAACAATATTTTCATTTGATGTCATTTTATTCTTTTTTTTATAACTTTCACATAAATTTATTTTATGTAAATTTTTTTTTAATTTTAAATGCTTTTCAATTTGTAATTTATTTAAATAATTTGTAAATAAATTTAATTATTAATTTAATTTAAAAAAAAAACAGTTTTGTCATTATATCGAAAGGAGTGTAACGAGTGTTTGCTAGGGCGTGTGAACGTAAAGTTAAGATAGAAACGAATATTTCGAGAAATCTATTTGAATAAGAAGTGACGAACGTATAATAAATAGAAGGAAAACATTGCGAAATTTCTTGGTTTGAATGAAATAGACAAAAAAAACAACTTTATTCTTTGTTCGTCCAGAAGACAATTTTTTTGTTCCCAAAAAAAAACATGTTTCAGTAAAATATAACATGTTTGAAAAAAAATTAGATTTTATTTATTATTTTATAAATATGAATAAGATTATTATTTAAATTAAATTAAATATACAATATAATATTGTATAAATTTATTTTATACCTTTTTTATTGGGAAGGACATAAAGCCCCTTTTTTGCACTTGGAAGGGCACTTTTTTTCAATTTGTTGTTTTTTTTTTGTATAGGGCAGAGAAATGAAAATCTATTAAAGACGAAGAGAAATGAGAGGATGTGTGAAAGATTGAAAGAGGTGGAGGGTAATTGAAATTGAATCGAAGGGAGACGAATATTCGTGCACATGTAGACAGACACAAACACATGCAACACAAAACGGTCTGAAAATTATGAATAATAAAATAAAATAAAAAAAAAATCGCGATCTCTACTTTATGCTGGCTCTACCCTTCCTTTTTGCTTCCCCCTACAAAGCGAATGAAAATATCTATTTTTATATACGTATACTCATTAGTTTATAGTCTAATCTAGTTGATTTTTTTCTTTTTTGTTTTGTGTTTTTTTTTTTCATATCTTTTTATTAAGTTCGTTAATCATGTATTGTACGATGACAAATAAATTTATTACTAATAATTAATAATTATTTATTAATTAAATAATTAATTTGATCGTACAATGTGTGATTAATTTTTGAAGAGAGAAAGAGATGAGATTAAATGTGAATTCCTTTGCAGACGGTGAGGAGACATCGAGCAGCGGTGCACAGTCGCCCGGTCAAATACGTATTAATTTTGAGAAATGCTTTCGCAAAGAATACAGCGCGACGAGTTTCCAGGGTAAGACAACATCGTCAGCTGATGATCAACAACAACATTCGGACTCGGAGTCGGATCAAAAGACCGTGTCCAAAGATCATTTGAGTAGTGCCATATTCAATCTGGTCAGCGCCGAGTCGGAAATCAGTCAAAGTGATTTTGAAGGCTCATTTAAGGCTGAGAATGAAAGAACTGAGGGATCGGTCCGTGATTTTTGCGTTAAAGAAGGTGACGTCTATCGTTGTACCGTGTGCCATCGTACCTACACACACATCAGCAATTTTTGTCGGCATTATGTTACATCACATAAGCCCAACGTCAAATATTATCCATGTCCGGTTTGTTTTAAAGAATTCACACGCAAGGACAATATGGTCGCCCATGTTAAAATTATTCACAGCCTAAAGCCGCACATGAACCTCACCAGCAGCAGTAATAGTAGCTCGAGCATGGGCCAACAACGGTAGAACAACGCTGCTCGCCAAAATTCGATAAATTCAATCATGCCATCTTTTTCTATTCCCGAGTCTTTTGATTCTTATTTATTTTCAACTTTACATCGCAATTTCTAAAAAATGCTTTTTTCAGTTAAAAAATT